TAGTCAATCTGCCAGCTCGCTGGAGGTGTTGAGGAGCTTGTAGCTCGAAAGCCAAATGATCAAAAAGAAGCCTCGGCTTTACTGAGAAAATAATAAAAGCTAGTTTGCTTGATGTCCCGCTGTGATTCAGTACTGTGAAGTCTGGTATAGGGAGGAATGAATTTCAAACCAATTGGTTATGTGAAGTTAAGGTTTTTTTTACTCAATTAGCCAGACTGTAAAGCAGTTGTATCTCATATGTAGAAGAAAGAAAGACCAACTGCAGTCAAACGCCCACAATTCTGATGTTGAATTTTTGAGCCAATGAATGTTAGATTCATTATTTTTATTAAAAAACGAACGTGTCTTTTGTGTATTTTACACCCTTCCTTTCTTTAGAAAAGAAAACATCTGCTGATGAAGGCCACGTGATATGATTCATATGATATGAAAGCTGCCTAACAGTTACAAGACGGATCTTGTTGTTTTCCCAACTGCTGCTTCTGAGGTCAAGAATGAGCTTTGAACCTCAGCCTTCAGCCAAAGTGGACAACAAGTCCTTAAAGAAATGTGGACAACTGGGTGAAGTCCATCTGCTAACGAGGATCATGTAATATGACCAGTGGTGGAGGAAGTATTCAGAGACTTTACTTAAAGTATTAAAGTATTAAAAGCAATAAAACCACATTTTAAAAATACAAGTGGCTGGCTGTTACAATACAACATATGTTATAATTTATGTTACTTAGTAAGGAAAATGTGCTTGAACCACCCAATTGTCCACAACCTCTAAATTATTAAAAATAAATAATAAATAATTAAAAGGAAAAGATGCAAATATTCAAATCTGATAAGCTGGAACCATAAAATGTTTCTGCGTGAACAAAGAAGTAAAGTACCTGAACATTTGGACCAGTGTGAAAGATTTGGTGGCTTCTAGCTGTGAAGCTGCTGATTGCAATGCCCTCACCTCACCCTCCCCTTCCAAGTGTGTAGGAGAAACTACGGTGGCCCCAAAACTCATGAAAAAACATAAACGTCCTCATTCTGGGCTACTGTAGAAACACAACAAAAACAAACCGATTCTTATTTTCAGGTGGTTAAACACTAAACTAAACACTAATAAAAACATACCTATGAATATTATATCCGATTTCTGCCAATAGATCCTCTTAAATGTGACACACTGGACCTTTAAGAACATTAATTAAATATACTGAATACGACTGAAAGCACCAGAGAAGCTGCTTGGTGGACAGAATCTTCCTCCTGCCGTCGGCTATATGAAAGAAAAAGGAGAAAATCCAAACCTTATTTTTTTGTTGTTTGCAGTGAAAATCAGATGCCTCTCTCTCTCTGGTGACTGTTGTGTCATTTACAAGATGGATCTGCGTTATCTAGTCATGACTTTAGTCATTAATATGTAAATAAACACCAAAATACTCACAATGACTGACTGAATGTCCACTGAGGATGTAGGTCTGATTGGTGGTGATGATTCAAAATATTTATCAATGCTTGTCTTAGAGGTACGTTGACTGCAGAGGGGTTTAAAATCTTCATCTATCTTAATGTTTGTGGGAGAAACACACACGTCTGCTGTCATATATCGGCTTTATCTGTCCTGTTGTCACTGATTTAAGTCTGGTTGGTTTTATTTTTGCAGCTTTTGAAACACAATGTACTGATGTTTCCTGTCAGTCCAGACTGGGTACATTTAAATCATAGTTTGTATGTGACATGTATCATTTGATCACATCAAAATGCATTAAATATCAGCCGTAGGTTCATAAAAAAAATCATATTTTTGTCCCAATCACTGTCAAATCTTTAAAACCAGATGATCAAATCATCGAGTCGGCTTTGTGCTTCAGCTGTAATCTGCATTCAAGTGACGTAAAGAGGAGGTGAAAAGTGGCTATAAACAGCCATACGTGGTCAAATGTGGACACAGACATCAGAGCTAAGAAAGATACTCCATCTATATACTTTACTGATATCAAGTCAGTGTTCATAAACACAAATACACTTTTTGTTTTTATTTGAGTCATTGCAGCTGCTGTCTATATTCTCACCTTTAGCAATGAAGTTTGAAACTTGCATTTTGTTTGTTTATTGATACATAATTCAAAATGAAAGCCAATGCAGAATGTAATAATGTTACAATGAGCTCTGCTTGCCCCTCTGGTTTAATATACTTTTGCATATGAACTTGTTTTTATGACTTTAAATACCAAAACACATTTTTCATTCTGGCTTAAGGTGATTTGAATTCAAAATGAATCTCTTTGAGGAGAGTCGGTGTCCATTAAAGTGTTTTATGTTTGCCGCTGTCACGATTTACTGACTTTTATTGCAGCATCACAAAAAAGTAAAGAGTGTGAGCCACAGAGACATCATTTTGAGTATTGCTGCTTTGAGTGCTTATGAAATCCTTAAAGGTGCAGATGAGAAGGACAGACAGCAGTTGGTTGTTTTTTGGTTTTAAATCTAAGATGTCCATATTATCTGACACAAATGTAGGACAAGACTAACACCTACTTGACCATAATTTTCTGTTTATTAGCATCAGACAGTGAAGCAACACATCAGTCGTGCAAATTACTGATTTTGCCTCCTGGCAGCCGTTGAGCATTTGAAAACAATATCTAATTATACTTAATGTATTTAATTATGAATCATTATTGCCAATTGTTCCTTCGATTAATGTCACACCCTACAGCAAAAGTTTGTTTTGCTGCTAGCTTTGCCAAACCATCCATTACCAGTCATGGGACTGATGATTACATTGATTCAGTTTGACTTGCTGCAGTATTCCCAATCCACTCTGACTCAGGAATATCTGTCCTTGCTAACAAGCCTTCCCCCTTTTTGCAGAGCTCATCATGTTAACACTTCGCTGCATGCTCCAGCAGCTCGTCAGCGGCAGCACAGATAAAAGGGACCATAACCGACAATGAAGGCGGTGATTAGCACACCATGTAAGTCCGTATTTAGCAGTCAGAGCTTATTTGTGAAACTTCCTTTAATGCTTTTGAGGAAATGAGGGCTGTTAATGTGTGTCAGTGGGTGTTCGGCTGGCAAGAGGTCAAAAACACCTCGCTGCAGGCTATGCACTTGACATTACCTCCATTATCTTGATGTCAACATGACATCACTGGTGACCTCGTGTCAGCTTATCAAAGATAATCATCTTTATTTGGAGAAGCCACATGCACAGGAGAAGCAAACAGATAAGGAATAAGCAGGATTTGAGCCCCCGATGAACAATTAGGAACAAGTCTAGGCATGTCTGACGAGCACCCCACTGCCATCCCATCAGTGGGTGAGCATGACGTGCAGCATGAATCCACAGACTGTTGGGAGTTTGCACCCTTTCTATAGACCAGCAGCTGCCTCGTGCAGCTGTCCGAGGATGCAGCTTGTGAAAGATCCAACAGAACTGGTCAAAACAGCACGAAATCAGAACAGGTGAAAGAAAAATGGCCACCACAAAGAGGCTTGCTGCACAGATTCATTCAAGAGCGTACCGCGCTTTCAAATGACAGCCCGTTTCTTATTAAGCATGACAGGATTCATGGATGGTTTACTGAATGGACCTACCAGGTACAGACTCAGGGGCCCAAAAGGTCAGGGGGCCCTTGAGTCAGAGCATCTGTTTGAAGTGACTGTAAACATTTTTTATTGTAAAATCATCACAAAGAGACACAAAACAACTACAAAGACACACAATATGACTACAAAGACACACAAAATGACTACAAAGACACAAAAACAACCACTAAGAGATGTAAAATGACCACAAAGAGGACAAAGGCACAAAAACCATCTATAAAGACGACACAAAAGGATAACCAATGGATGTAAAATCACCACAAAGAAGCATAATGTGACCACAAAGACACTAAAAGACTACAAAGACACACAAAACAACTACAAAGACACAAAATGACCCCAATATGAGACAAAATAACGTTATTGAGACACAAAACGAAGGATGAGAAATGATGTGAGTGTAGTTGTTCTCTGTCTCTGTCAGTCTAGGTGTCTTTCTCCTATGAGGGGTGGGGGGCTTTACAGATATCTGTGCCCAGGGGCATTTTGTCTCATAATCCTCAGCATGAATGAAACCATTTATTTCTTAAGCTTTAGCCTTGCCACTCCACTGTACAGTGCTCATCATGTATCAATCAGAAAAACAGGACTTTTACAACATGGAAACACACAGGCAGAAAGGAGCCAGTGCCTCTTAAAAACGTCTCTTATGTAATTCTGTAGCTTGTTAGTTGGCTCGGTGCCTCAAAACCTAAAGAAAGAGCTCACAGAAAAGTTCAGTCTTCATATAAAAAAGTGCTAATTCTACAAATTAGGGTCTTAAACTTGTCCCGAACCTCAAAGGAGCAAGAACAATGGCCTTTGATTTTAAATTCATAGAGAAGATATAAGTCGGAGATAGGCGAGGTGCAATCGCTGTTTCCAAACTGGGCTCTATATGAGGAGGGCTGGCACTCAAATATGTGATAAAAAAGGAAAGAGCATAGCGGGACACTCACAGGGAGTTCAGAGAGACAAAACTAGATGCTGTAAAGTCACTGAGCGCCTTATTAAATGCTAACGTTTATAATTAAAAGAAAGAATTTCTCATTATTAGATATTAGATTAGAAGATTGATACAAATATCTGTACTGTGAGTATAAGGCTACAGGCAGCAGCCAGTTAACTGGCTATTGGCTGTAGCCTTAAACACCACACAGATATAAGTTGTTTCAAGGTTCTCATTGAAGAAAGCGAATACGAGTACTTCCCACAACGGTGTTCTTCCACAGAGGCCGCTATGTTGAACTGCCATGTTCCTACAGGAGCCCAAAACAGAGCTACGTGGTTTCTCTCCTACATACTTGGAACGAAAGGGTGAGGCGAGGGGATTTTAATCAGCAACCACTAGATGAGACTAAATCCTACACACTCAAAAAGGTGTAATTTTCTCTGTTTTGAGAGAAAGTGAGTCATTGCTTGTCTTGAATTGTAAAAAAAATTAATTTAAAAAAGCCACAATGGTGTTGTTTCTTTGTTTTATTTGATCTTACACACTGATTTCATTATTTAACACCACATGGTGAATCTCATGAAATAAATGTTTTATTTGTGAGACACTCGAGTGACAAAAAAAGAGAATTATCACTTTCCATGCAACACAATGTTTTTTTTTTGTGGTTTTTTTTCAAAAGGGAAAGCAGAGGAAGAAATGAGAACCACATTTCTTTAATCTTTCGCTCTGCAAAGAAGTTGCTGAAAATGGGAAAAGTGAATCAAAATGGATAGCTTTCTGTAATATTTTCCATTCAAGCCCAGTTACCTTTATTGAAAGAGGAATAATTTCCAAATACTGTAATTATATATTCATATGAATCAATGGTTTGTTCTAAAGTGGGAGAAAAGTGAAAAAGTACAGGCACCACGGTTTTTCTGCTGCAGTGGTTAATGGATAAACAATGGACTGCATTCTCCTCGCTCCTCTTTTCCTCCTTCCTGGTCTTTTTATAGATGCCTTTCTTTCTTTTTAATGTCTCCCTGCCTTCCCCTTTGACATAGGTTTAAACCGAGCCATATCATTAGGGAGTCAAGAGCATCTCTGTTGTGCCTGTGAGGTTTCCCCTCTTGGTTATATAATGATCTTCCCGTAGGCCTCTTCTGGTGTTGGCGGCGCTCCCTGCTCGCTAACCCGGCCCAGCTTTGGCCCGGTTCCAGTCCAAACAGAACCCACTTTGTCCTCGACTCTGTTTTTGGCACCAGCTGTTCGTGCACGACTCCAGCAGCTGACTCCTTTGTTTTACTTACAGCCGGCTTTTTCTTCTTACATCACCTTCTTTTCTTTTTTCCCTTCCCCAGTTTGATCTGTTTTTCAGGCCTGGCTGTTCCCTCTCTTTCTGTTTTTCTCTGTCTCTCTTTTTGTCTCATTTCTATTGACATTTTTTTCCAGCTCTCGCCTTGAGCACTTTTTTCCCCCCACTGTCTGCAGAAGAGGCTGTTAGTGCTGTGATGTATGAGGGCAGCTGACGCCCACCTGCTTCCCAGCAGTCAGTCTGGAGGGTGTTTCTAAGCTCCACCATTGGCTGTTGGCTATTCTCTCGGCTCTGCCGATGACTCAGTACCAACCGTCACACCTGTCGCAGCTCCTGGTAAACACTGGCCACGGTCCCTGCAGTTAAACCATTAGTAAAAATGACTAATGATGATATAATTATATTTTTATACAAATGCCAACAATGTGTCATGATTGGTTATTCTTCTACAACTTCATGATAGCCCACTAAAGCTGGATTAAGTCGTATTTTATGGAGGAAGGACGGCGATGTCATTAGCAATGATTTACAGCCCCAGTAAGTGCTTTGAAACAGTAAAATTTATAAGAGGAGGAAATTGGCTTAATAATTGAGAGCCACTGAGAGGCGATTCACCAATAATCTTTCTCCTGCCGTTGGCAGAATCGTCCTCTTTGCTATCTCAGTTTTGCACAGGTAAAAGGCAGCTGGTGACCTTCTCCTCACTGGGGATAAATGACTGGTCCTGACAGGCTGATGAGTGGTCCTAATAATGCCCCCCTGACGAAATGATTTTATTGTTCACAATGTGTCTGTCTCACAAATACAGCTAATAAAGGGAAGCCTTTAGTCTCGCTCGGTGGAGCAGCCAAGAAGGTCGTCTAAGATCTGCAAAAAGACTCGCAGAAAAGAATCAATTAAATTGCTTAAAGAGAACTTTTTGACAGAGAACAATGTGAAATTAGAGTCGGCTCTTCAGAAGCTGTCAGTGCTCGTTTCCATTTCATCACAGACGGAAGAAGAAGCAGCTCTGAGAAGAAAAGAGGAAACAGGACAAAATCAACACTGAGGTCAGAGGTCGCACCCATCATGACTTTTTTATCCCCTCCATACATGTCTCTGCATCAGTCACTCGTTGGGGGTAATTGAGAAGAAGGGTATTGATTTGATGTCCAGGCTAATTGTGAGTTGGAGCAGAATAGCTGTGTAACTGGCAGGTTTATGGCCCGGTGATGTATAAAGTTTGAATTTTATGTAGTACATCTGTCAGATCAGGGTGTAAGTGTGACTGCTACCATCCTTCTTTAACAGCTCAATGTGTTCAATTGATTTGTGCTGCAGGCGTCGCTCCTCAGCGTGTGTGTAGTAAATCCTGATTGACACTGCAGGTTTTTGGAGACAACGCTGCTACTGACTGTTGGGCATTTTGAAAATTTGCAGATGGCTTTGAGTTAAATATTCCACAGTTGAGAGGCTCTTAAATGCAGATAAACAATATAAAAAAAATACTTTTTGTTTTCTGATTGACTGGCAATAAAAGTTTCCAGTCTTACATCAAATACCTGATAAAACTATTCCTTTAAAGGAAAGTTTTAGAGGTTAACTGTTTCTGTTTTGCCAAAACTTGGGATGATTCATCTTGTTATTGATCGGCCCAGGGGATACCTGCATCTTTCATGGTAAACAGCATATAATATGTATTAATTTTTTTCTTTCTTCCCCTAAGAAAATCCATTCTGAATGCATTAGTGAGTACAGTGGGTCTTTCCATGTGCAGAGTGGTAACGGTTGTAATCATTTAGGGTCTTTACCTCCCCAGGGAGCTAGTTTTTATGCCATGGCTCTATGTCCACCTTGGTCCAGAGTAAAATGGCTCAACAACTGTTGAATCGATTGCAAGGAAATTCAGATATTTACCTAATCCAACATTACAGTTTATGACCTGCAAAACTAATGTCAGCTGGACTTGTGTTCAGTGCTAATTGCAAATATTAAAGTGTTAAACTCAGATGGGGAACATGTATATCAGCATGTTAGCATTGTCATTGTGGGCATGTTAACAAACAGACTAACAGCCTTCTTCTTAACATTTATAATTCTCACAAGATAAGGGGAGAATCCATCTTGCCAGACGTCAAGCTATGTGCTGATATCTAACCACAGTGGTACCAGACCAGTCAGCATCCTTTAAGGGAACTACTGTAATCTATGTCATGAGCTTCGGGTGTGGTTAAACAATGGCAGCTGCTAAACTGTAAAGTTCACTAGTACTGGCAGAAAAGAAACCAAAAGCATGATAATGACAGGAAAAAATTCAGCTTACTTACCAGAGTTCAGGCAAGGTCAAAACCGGGAGATCGGTCACACAGGCAAACACAACCCTCCAAAAAATGAGCAAGCAGAATATCTGAGATCCAAAAACAAGCAAGCAGGGTCAGAACAGGCGGGTCAGGTAAAATAGTCAGGTCCATCAACCTCAGGTGAGGGGAATGAGTTGATTGCATGGCCGAGAGGCAGGATCTGAAACGACAGGAAAGTTAGTGATGTGGCATGAAAAGCATGAAAGTGCACCACAGGACATGTGACGAGAATTAACCAATCGTCTTCACAGGACTTGCTTCACCTTTTACTTACTAAGTTACTAACTAGTTGTGCTCGCTAACGTTAGCACTTTTAGTTTGTGTGTGGGAGATTGACGATGTGACTTCTAAGTTAGTTTAGTCGGTGAGACTTACAGCTAAATTACTGGAACTTCATCATCATCGTCATGCCATCCGCAGGTTTTGGTTGCTTAGTAATGACAGGCACTGCAGTAGCGCAACCTCCCAAGCACTTTGGATTAAAAGACGAAAGCGTTTAAGACGCAACATCCCTAGGTCCCTAACAAACCATCTGTTATCTGATCATCTAAATATTAATTTGTCTCCCTTTTTTCCCTACACTCAATCACTCCCACTGTGATGTAATGCCACTTGTCACCTTAAGTGTAACTGTAAGGCACAGAGCAACTTTCAACTCAGGTTTCTTTGTTTACAATGTTCTTTTTATATTTTATTTTTTGTGTTTTAACTTTATTCTATTCTTCTATTTGTGTGTTGTGTAAAGGGAGTCGGGCAAAGTAGGATTTTCATTGTACATATAAACCACTGTGTTTCTTACTGTACATATGACAATAAACCTTTTAAATTTTAAATCTTGAATCTTTTTACTTTTTTATGTGCGTAAATCAGTTTTTATATTTTTCCACCTTAAACTTTGATTTTCACTCCTATCAATATTCTAACTGCATCCACACTTCTTATTGACAACTGTGATATGACGAGTTTCCATCACTCTGCTCCTGCCACCACATTATGTAACCGCTTTTGTTTCAGAGTCTTTTCAGCAGTTGCTCTGTTTGTGCAGGGCACACTGTGAAATGACCAACATTTTATCTGTGCAGGAGGGATGGATGCAACTTATCAGCCCGCACTCGCTCAAACTGCTCAGAGAGATTAGAGTGAAAAAGGAAACTCAAACACCGACACTCTCTGCTTTGTGGAGATGCATTTATTACCAAGATGTCCCACTAATGGCTACCTCTGCCCCTTTCTGTCTGTTTGAACGTTTCAGCCTCTGCCTCCCCTCGTCTCACTCAGCAGCACTACTTAGAGAGTGATGAGGAAATGGCCTCTTCCTGATGTACCTTGACAGGATGAGGGGAAAGAAGTGTATAAACCTGTGGTTAGTGTGCATGTGTGTGCACACTCAGCTGCCTGTGGGGAGAATTTGCTGTGTAATTACAGAGGAGAGAAAATCAGACAGACTGCGAGAGATAAAATAGAAAGTGTGTGTGAAGCTGAGAGGAATGTGCTGATTAATGGGCGATCGAAGGCGTCCCTAAGCAGCCCTCCTCATTACCGTTCAGTCTGACCCAACACTCCCTTCATTAGGCCTTAAAACAGCCTGTTAAAATACTGCCCGTGTGTGGTATCCTCATTAAAGCTACAGATGATAATCAAACAAAGGCCAGATTCCCTTTTGTCAGTTCAGACCTCTGTGCTTCAGCCAAAAAAATAAAAAAGACGGCTTTGTGTCGGCTGTTTAAATGGGCTGTCTTTCACCGCTCTTGTTTTTTAATTTCATAGCTGTGGGGAACACTGGCTTGGTTTTGGAAAATTAAACAGTCAGATCACCAGAGTTACAAATAAAATACTTTTCTCCGTTGTTTTTGGTGCAGTGCCTCCCAACTTGTTTGTACACCTTCAGTTTTTTATATATTAAAAAAGAATCACATGACTGAATGTTAAAGGGGTTATAACCCACAGAGGAGTATCACCCATTGCCCTCAGCTCTACCAAGCTTCATTTGTTTTGCTGTCTAAAATTATACTGTTTTGGTTCACTATCGTTGCTCTTTTAGCATCGTTTTTGGTTACAGCCAGCAGTTTTTTTCTTCTGTGAAAAAGCTCTGAAAACCTTCTGTACGCTACCTGCTCAGCACCAAACAGCAGACAGACACAGTTAGAGACAATCTGGTGAACACAGTGGAGCATTTAGAGCCAGATATTTCCCTCAGGAGTTGGTAGAGACCAAAAACAGAGATAAAAAGGAGAGCAACTCACATTCATCAGATTACCAGAGACACGGCTCTAAATGAATGTTGCTACATGTCTGCTGGATGTGTAAATGAGGAGCAGTTTGGTCCTCCAAAGAATGATTATCCTTGTTAATGTTAATGTTAATGTTTTTCATTTGAATAGAATAAAATACAGACCTGTGAAAACAGTTATTTCACAAGAAAAAAGATTGAGAAAGTCTCAAAAAATAAAGGTACCAGTACGGTACTAACACATACATATAGGTAGGCGAGAAGAAGCTGTAAAGATATAGAGAACAAGAGGGTAACCATGTGGGAATTATTTATACTGTAGGTATTTTTTAACTATTGGGGACCTACTCCATTATTATGGGGTACAATATGTACGATAAGTTCTTCACATCTTGTTTCCTTGTGCTTGTATGTATTGATACTGCACTGGTTCACCATTAATTAATTAAAAGTAAACCATAAATGGGGAAGAATTGAACTTTATGTTGCAGGACAGTGTAGAAAAAGGTCCATTTAGTTGCCATTCTGGAGCTTTTGGCTCACATCACATATGCTTCCTCTGCACAACCAGTTGGCATCGAGGGAATTTTAATAACTTCTTGTCCATGTCGGCTTACAAGCTGAGGTTCAAAGTAAACTTTCCACCTTGAAAACAGCAGTTTAGTAAACAATTTTCTGGAGCTGTCAGTCATATCGCATGATCTTCATCAGCAGTTGGATGGACGGAGGAGTCCTTGAAGTGCTGTTTCCAAGGTCAATAATAAAACTTCACCTGTTAACCAAACTCAATAGAGTTATTGGCAGCCTTTCAGAGTGATTACACTTTGGAAGAGGTCACTGAGGTCACAATAGAGGAGAGATCACATTGACATTATTGGCATCTCTGCATTGTCAGCGATGATTTAACAGCATCATCACGGCACCTACGTGCTCTGCTTAGTCATCGCTTCACAAACACTTACTGGATTTCTGAATTCAATGAAAGTGATTGAAGAATGGGTGTAAGTGTCATTCTGGCTGAAGATGATTACAGTTCATCTGTGGGAAAAAAATTCCACCTGAGGTTGATACGTACATCATAAAATAACTATATTTGTAATAATACAGATCCCAAAGATTCAATCTGGTGCAAAAATGGCATCTCACTCAAAGTGGGAATGTTTGTGCTGCAGTTTTGAGTGAAAGGAGGTCAGGTCAAGAGCTCAAGAGTAAATTATTAAAAGGTCATGCTCTGTTTAGAATGAGAATGAGCCATGGTTGATAGTAATATCATATAGAAAGGCCAGGTAAGGAATATTCAAGTGATGAAACAGCGACTCTGTGTCCATCAGCAGCTGAAATGTGTCCCCTGTGGTTACGAGCTCCCTCACTGAACCTCTACCTGTGATTCAGAAAAATTAAAACCTGTGACTGTGCTGGTCCTTTGTGCCAGCGTCAGGTCACATTGACCGTTTTGATCAATCGTGCCGCCGGAGCTGTCTGGAGGATACATCGCCGTGGTAACAGAGTCGGCCAATGGCGGACAGTAGAAGGGAAAGACTGACTCATCACGCTCAATAAAACAAAGAGCAAACAACAAGTGCGTCAGGGATGGATGTGCCACGGCTATAAATGTCAAAAGCATCATTTCCCAGGGAGCGAGGCGGTCGGATCACAACAGAGCTCTCCAGGCGGGATGTTATGACAGAGAATATGTTACAGCCCGCTGACCTCATCATCATTTTCCATACCTGGAAAATAAACTTTTATATTGAAGTGATATCAGGTAGATGGAGAGAAGTTTTTTATTAACCACGAGGGTTTTTTTTGAATTATGATGAAATATTTTTAACAAAGTCTCTCAAGGATTTATAAACTGTATAGGCCACAAACTCATTTGTGAGATTGACTTCTTTTACCTTTGGAAACAATCTCACCACAAGGTCCATTGAGTAGCTGTTGTGGAGCTTTCAATCACATCACACAATCTTCCCCAGCAGATGGAGTTTGCCTAGTTGTCATGGAAATGTAGATGTCTCTACTTTTTCGGAGGACTTTAAAGGGGAACTCCGCCAATTTTACACATCAAAGTTTTGGGGAGTACTGCACATGGTGAGAAAAGCTGTATAAGGTGGCTTCAGAGGGAGCCGCACAAACGCCTGATAAACTGGTTTAAGTGAGCTAGCCACTACTAGCACAACACACCTGAATCTCCGGTCAAACTGTTGGCGGTTAAGGTTGCATTGTGGGTAATGTAGGCACCAGCTTTTGACAAGAATAATTTAAAAATAACAATATCTCGGGTTCTGCTGCATCGAAATTTGATCCTTTTTTAAGAAAAACACCAGGAGTCCGACTCAAGAATTCTTATCCATCGACATATTCATAAAGGACTGACTTTACTTTCCTCTGAGGAACATAGTTTTATAGTTTTAGTTCTTTGGTTGTATTTATTTGTACCACTATGTTATTTATCACTTTAATATTGATCTGTTTTATATCTTGATTTACTTCTGAAGCACTTTATCTTGTCTTATAAAGGTGTAACATAAATAAACTTTACTTATTTACTGCTTTTAAAGAGAATTTCTCAGACTTGTACACTGAAAAGGGGAAAAGTCTTTATCATGTGTAACCATTCTTCCTAATGTTTGTTGTTTCAGTGTTTAGCATGTGTATTTTTAAATGTTTGTTTAAATAAAAGACCCTAAAAATAACTGTTTGAGTAAAGTTACAACAGCTTGTTTAGAAATGCTGACATACTTACATAAAATCATGTCACTTCATTTCCCTGCAGCAGCCCACACCTTCAACTTTAACATCCTTTATCAGAGAAATCTCCACTTTTAATGATGCATCCAACATTGAAATACAGTCTTTCTTGAAAACACCGAAAGTGTCTGTGGGAGGTTGCTGCCAGTGGGTGTAAAAAAAATTCCCTTGGTTTGTTTTCCAATACAGGATGTTTTAAGAAATTTCAAGAATCAAATGCTATTAAAGTGTGTGAAAAGTGAAACCCTAAACAATGCCAAGTTCAAGATACTGTTGTTTAATTCAAAGGAAATAAGCAGTGCTCAGCGGTGTTTGTCTTTGGTTTGGTGTTTACAGCTGTGAAGAGCATGTTTTTGGATGTGTTGCCTATTTGATTGTCTGTTTACTGTTTGTCAACTGTCACAAATGTTTTATTGCACTGGAAGTGCCCGAATCCCCCTCCTTCTTCCTGGTGCCTGAAGAGTTTTCTTTCTTTTTTAACACCATGAGATGCTCAACCTCGTAAAAGATAGGACTCTCTTACTTTGAGGGTGATGATGAGGTGCACTTTCATTTGATTAAATACAGCTTTTTTTCCCCTCCCTGTGAGATCCTGTTGTAAGCAGCTGCTTACCACCCAGATCAACAGATACACAGTACAGTACATAGGAAAACAAAAGTAAAAACAATCAAAGGCAATAAGCTTCAAAACATTTGTGTAGTAGTTGGAGATAAATACATTACTAATATCTAAAAAATATACACGAGATAGAGTACAAAATAAACAGCTGCTGTTTTGTATGAGTAAAAATGTGAGTTTTGAAGTGTCTCCTAGAGGCAGGGTTGGGGTGAGAGTGGGATGGGGGACGTTGCTGTGTGTTGTTAGGTGTCCCTCCTTATATAAAATGACGCTTGGTTTCTCATGTAACCCGCCTGTTGCTGAATAATAACGTGCTTCAGATTAAAGTATATGTAAAACTGTTATCTGTGTGGAGCATCAGTCAAAGACTTTCTGTTTCTCTTTTGGCTTCGGTAGATAGAGGGAGCTACTCTCCTGTAGTTACAGTCTGACTTTGAACCTCTGCGTGTGACAGTTGGCTGACATTTCATAAAGCAGTCTCTTGTCTATGTGTGTCCCAGTCACACAGTTTCCACCCTTTTTATTTTATGAAGTAATATGCAGCTCTGTCAGTGGGCAACTATCTTTTGATGTCATCAATTTGACACTGTATTGGTTTTAAGATGAATTATTTTATCTCAGCTCTTACACTGACCTTCCTCCTGTTCAATTTTTAATGAGAGGAGATTGGACGGTCAGCTCCTGTACATCCTTTCCTGTTTCTCCAAGTAGCGGTATTGGCTTTATTTGATTTGAGGACAGTTCAAATGAATGTTCTGTACGCCGAATGGCCATCTGCTCTAACCTTGTTTCATCGACCATAAACAGGCCGGCTCCATCAGTGAAAAAAGGTACTGGCCAAATATTTGCTGCTCTTCGACCCCATTTGGTTTAGTGTGTTCTCTGTTTGCATTTCAATGACCCGCGGTCAGTGTCAGAACGATGGCACGTGTGTCCCTGACGAGCTGTCCCCTGATAAGACGCCAGCAGATGAGAAAGGGACTGAGGCCTTGTGGGATAAGAACAGGGTGAAGGATGGAGCAAACGCAGACAGGCTGCTGGTTCACACACACTGCAGCTCTGGTATCAATCTCCTCACACACACACATCACACACCCTGCTGCACTGCCAACCAGCTCTCTGATAGCTGCTGAAGTCTTCTGTCGGTGTGCCATGTGTTTCCTACCTTTAAAAGCTCTTATAATATCCTCACTGAAGTGTCAAGAACATGTATCGAGGAGCAATTGTTATTCATTGCTTTATTATCTGAACGGCACTTGTCGATTAAGTAACACCTCCCACCGCGCGCCTTCTCAGTCAAGCATACTCTGGTTCCTTTAATCCCCAAGCCTCCTAATTATTGCTCATGCAAATCACAGATCAGGGCTCACCAAATATTTTGTGAAAGAGAGAGAAAGAAAGAGCGAGTGTGAGAGGATAAGGGAATGCAGGAGCGCATCTGTGCATGCACGGGTGTGTGTAGCACTTTTTTTGAATTGCAGCAGATATGGAATTAGCTGGAGAGGACGGGATTGTGCGGATTAGGCAGAGAGATTTTACCAAACGCAGACTCCCTATGTGTAATTCATTTTGGCGTCCTTGAAATTGCTACTGTGAGAAATTCAGCAGCTGCAACAGCAGCACTGAGAGTCCTCAAATAGGCAGAATCCAACCCCCCTACAACCACCCACAACACCACCACCACCACCACCACCACTCCCACGTTTCTCTGAAGCATGATTGCATGAAAGCTGTTGGGGGTGTGAATGCAGGTTTTTTTTATGTGAATTTTGCAGCTCCCAAAAATATTTGAGCCTTTGTGTGGGAATGGGTGACATATCTCACAGTTTGAGTCCTCTCAATGTGCACCCGTAATCCTGTGTAAAGTGAAGTTGAAGCGCTGGTCCGCCCAAATCAGTGAAAAACATATATTCCCAGTTCGTGTATACAGCCACACAGACAGTTCTGGTTTCATAAGCAGAGGGTTTTTACTACCAAGACATCTGCTGCCAACTCGTTTTGATGAAGGTAAATGGTATTTATGTTTGGTTCACGACACTGTTACGTGTTACAACTGATTACAACTGAGGAGCACCCTGGTGGCCGAGGTGTGGGCAACCATGAACCACAACCTCCTCGGTTTGTATCCAGCTGGGTCCCCATCTCTCTCCTCTAATTTCCTGTTATCTCTTCACTGTTGCTGCCCATTAAAGGCATTAAATGCCCAAAAAGATCACTAGAAAAGAGAACTCAACAACAGAAACAATATCTTGGTAACCCTCAATAATCCACAGACTTCACTGTGGACAGTTTTTCATCTGGAACTGTTTTATACCAACAAAGTAGTCCTAATGACTTTCAAAGAATAGTTTTATTCCAAAGAACCAGGACACTGTTTCTGGAGAGAAACACATGATCAGACCTTATTTATATATTTTCTATATTCCCCACAATAACAGTGTTTATGTTATTTTGTGATGTAGAGTTATTCACCATGATAGAGAGCGACGATCACGAGGAGCAGATATCTGGTGCTGTTTCTTAAATTACTGATCTTTTCTTTAACCTGCTCAATTTTGTCTTCTCCATCAACAAAATCCACCGATATCAGAAACCAAGCAGAAAAAGCTGACCAGTCACAGATTTTATGTAGCATCTGTGTAGCCGCTGTGGCTGACATGCACCTCCTGGAAAAGACAAGCATCCATAACTACGTTAACTTCTTATTACACAACTATAAATCCCCATTAAAGGGATAATTTGACATTTTGGGAAGTACACTTATTTGTCATCTTGTTAAGAGGTAGATGAAAAGATCAATACCACTCTCATATCTGTCCTTTAAATATGAAGCTGGCGTAGCCAAGAAATAGCACAAACCCACAACATGTTTTTAGACAGATTAAACAGGATATAATGTGTTAGTTAAAGAGCTTTAGAGGTGCAGGTTGGTAACCTTTGGACGGAGCCATGCTAGCTGTTTCCAGTCTTTATGCTAAGCTAATGGGCTACTGGCTGTACCTTCATATTTACAGTACAGACATGAAAGTGTCAGTCTTTGATTTTTTCATCAACTCCCAGCAAGAAAGCGATTAAGCATAATTCCATAATATCCTTTAATTGGGTGATCTGATCCTTCAAAGGGCAGCTGGGCCTCACACCCTGCTCTTCCTCCAGCTCGTCTTCAGCGGACTCCGAAGAGCCAGAGGCAGAAACAAACCGCACACACCAGCTGAATTATAGAAGACAGTGTCAAACATAAAGGTTTGTAGCACAGCTCAGGGAGTCAGGTGTTCATAAAACTGTAACATGCACTCGTAAAACATTATTGTACTGCAGTTGCTAGATAAACACTGTTATGCTCCCTCTCAAGACCACTTAGAGAAAAATTACAGCTTTTTCGTTTCTGTATCAGAAGGCTGGAACAGGGTCAGAGAACGACGTCGCCTCAAGTTGCAGCTCTAAAAAAAGATGGAATGATGAGGTGCAGCATCGTCAACATGTCCTCCACCGCCGCACCTGTGAAGAGGATCATAAAGTTCCCAGCTGCTGTCACACATTCAATAAAAAATAAATAAAGCTGAGAACAAAGTGTCTCCGCCTGTGTGATGTGTAAATTCTGAGCTACCTGTCATGTTTCTCTCTCTCGCTGCAGCTCTGCAGGGCAGCCGAGCCCAAAGAGGTCTACTGGAACTTCAGCCAACCCATTACAGCGCACAGCGTACAGTAAGAGGATTATATCACCAATCCCCTGATGTCACTGTAAAGCCACAGAGGCCTTAGCTCATGGTGAACCCCAACTCCCCCCAACCTTCACACTCCTCCTTTCTACAATACCTCCTCACCTTCTGCTGTCAGTCTGAACGGTGCCGCCCATCACGATCAGTTCACAGGTTCAAAAGATTTCATCTCTCGGGCCGGCGATGACAGGAGCCTCTGCACATGCTCAGATGTTTGTTTCATTCTTTGGCTGTTTGAGTGGCAGAACAACTGACAAACTGCCCGCAGGAAACAAACGGCCATATGGTGTGAGCAAAGGTGCCGTATAAAGCCATCAAGCCATTTGCTATTTAACGTGGAAGGTGCTCCTGTTTGGGCTGAGGAGGAAATTGCCATCATGCCAAGTTCAGTCAGTCAGACCGACCGCACACACCTTCTGCCTAACACTACTTGCTGGAGAGAGCTGGTCTCTTACAGCAGGTTTTTGGGAGGATAAATCTGAGGGGCCACAAGTTGATTAACAGGATAAGTAAACTGGAAAAATTAAGAACCAATTGAAAATGCATACCTTCTCTAGTGAGGCACACATCAAAGGCAGAAAGGGAAAGCTGCACATTCATAGCTTCACTCACTTCTAAAGAGTGATCTTTCCTCGGGATTATTCGGGGTTTTTTTTTTTAGCAAAGATATTCTTCTGTTGCACAAGTCTTTTTGTTTTTCTAATCTTTGCTTCTTTTCTGTGATTGATTAAT